AAAATGGCGTCAAAGCTCTGTGACTCGTGCAAATCGGCGACTGCGGCGTTATACTGTCGTCCAGACGCGGCGTTTCTTTGTCTGAGCTGTGACTCAAAGGTCCACGCAGCGAACAAGCTCGCGTCACGACACGCGCGTGTCTGGATGTGTGAAGTTTGCGAGCAAGCACCAGCTCACGTCACGTGCAAAGCTGACGCGGCTGCTCTATGCGTCACGTGCGACCGAGACATCCACTCGGCTAACCCCTTGGCTCGCCGTCACGAGCGTGTCCCCGTCACTCCTTTCTACGATTCCGTCTCCGGCGCCGACGGTTCCGTCAAACACACTGCCGTTAATTTCTTAGACGACTGTTACTTCTCCGATCTAGACGCAAACGGAAGCCGTGAGGAAGAGGAGGAGGAAGCGGCTTCGTGGCTGCTTCCGAATCCGAAGACGACGGCGGTTTCTACGGCAGCTGAAGCTGTGCCGGGAGATAGCCCGGAGATGAACACGGGTCAACAGTATCTGTTCTCGGATCCGGATCCGTATCTGGATCTGGATTACGGTACTGTTGATCCGAAGCTGGAATCTCAGGAGCAGAACAGCTCCGGCACCGACGGTGTGGTTCCGGTGGAGAATCGGACGGTTAGGGTTCCGACGGTGAACGAGAATTGCTACGAGCTGGATTTCACCGGAGGATCTAAAGGCTTTACTTATGGTTACAACTGTATCAGCCACAGTGTAAGCTCCTTTTTTTTCCGAACTTTAATTAATTCTCTAATCAAAGTGATTAATTTAATTTGATTATGTTGAAATAACAAGACAACGAACTCAAAAGAACCAATTGTTTATCAGATTTAGATCTTCTTTTTAAACCAAAAAAAAAAAGTTTAGGTTAAAACTTTTGCGGTTACAACTTTTAATGACATTTTTAACTAATAATTTAATCGGGACTAATGATTGGCTGATTGAATTTTTAGTGCTGTTAAATGTTATAGACGAGCTACATGTGTTTATTCTCACTTTACAGTTTAGTATTTTTCACATTGTAGTAAATTTATGCCAAGTTAAAGAGTTGTCTGATTCAACGGTTGTTACAGCAGGTATCATCATCGTCGATGGAAGTGGGAGTGGTGCCAGATGGAGGCTCGGTGGCTGACGTTTCGTACCCTTACGGTGGACCTGCAACCAGTGGAACCGATCCCGGAACTCCGAGGGCTGTTCCGCTGACTTCGGCGGAGAGAGAGGCGAGGGTAATGAGGTACAGAGAGAAGAGGAAGAACAGGAAGTTTGAGAAGACGATAAGGTACGCTTCGCGGAAAGCGTATGCGGAAATGAGACCGAGAATCAAGGGACGGTTTGCGAAGCGGACGGATACTAGTGAGAGCAGCGATGTGGTTGGTCATGGCGGTCTCTTTAGCGGGTTTGGACTTGTACCTACATTTTAGAAGTTGAGGGAGACTCTAAAATGGGGAGGGTGGTTTATTGTGTTGTTTTTAGTAATAAGATTTTAACGAACGTTCTTTCTTTTAAGACTTGTTTTGTATTTGTTGATGAGTTTTTACTTGTTATGGTGGAGAGAGAGGAGAAGAAGAGAGTTGTTGGTGGTGTTTATATGTAACTTGTTTGTATATATCATGTGATTTTGAATATGTTTTGTGCATCAAGGACGTTTTGGGTTTACCGCATGCTAGGCACTCGTCCGTCGCTAAGCCCTTAGCTGTTTTTCTACCATAAAGGTATTTGAGAGAGAAACATAAGGTCAAAATTTTCCTATGGATCATAGTACTTATTTTGTTATACATGATAACACCGTTGGTTGAACATCTTCAGATGTCGCTTGTCTGACCATGGTCCATGTATCGCTAACAGACGGTGTTTTCGAGTTAACCAATTAGGGTTTTCGAGTTAACAGACGGTCTTTTGGGTATGTTGGAAGAATTACCGATGCATAAAATCTTTTAATACGTAGCAACGGTAAATCAATCACTACAACTCATGTCATAATTGTATTGTACTAGTGTTATTAACGTTTTAGCTTTAAGTTTTCAGTTTTCACTGATAGACACATGGAACCGGAGCCAACTGATTCGCTGACCATTGAGAACCAACAAACTTGAAAATTTTACAAAGTTCCGTACATGTTTAAAGAAAAATTACATTACTGGATTTAAAACCTCAAATTAGTCGAGGCAAAATCTCGGGACACTCACTAACAGTTCAAAGTAATTGAAGACGAGACATCCATTTCTCAAGATATCATTTTGAAGTCAGTATTGGCTTCTTAATTAGCGATAGAGTGAGTGCTACTTGTCTTGCTTGTGGCGGTTTTCCTCTGAGTTGCGATTGGCTTTCGATTCTTGTCACCCGTTAATCCGCTTTGTTCCGAGGAAGTGGCGTGTGTTGCTGCAATCTTTTGCTTCTGATTCGCAATGCTACTGTCCAAATCGCTGTGTGCTGTGATCTGCCCTTGACCAGGTACCTTGGCTGAGCTCTTGGCCTCTGTGCCGCTATGAATTGCGACTGGCATTTCGTTGTCTGCTTGACCAGGTTGCTTGGCTGAGTTCTTAGACTTTGAGCCGCTACTAATTGCGATTGGCATTTGATTCTTTTGGCTTGCTGAATCACTCTGTTCGGAAGAAATGCTACGTTCTGCAGCTGTAATCGCAATTGGTTTTTGAGTCGAGCTGATGTCACCTGAGTCGTTGCTTCTAGCTGCGATCGACTTTTGTTTCAGGTTTTCACTCTCAGTGTTGCGGTCCGAGTCACTGTGTGCTGCGGTATGGTCTTGCTTGGTTTCTTTGGTTGAGATCTTGTGGTCCGAGTCTTTTGTAACTGCGATTTTCTCATGATTTGCTTCCTGGGAGGAACTGGCATGGGTTGAGGAAATCTGAGATGCTTTGTTGTTAGCAGTTTTGCTCTCCAGAAAACGTACGACTACACATGTGATGTTGTCTGCACTTCCTCTCCGTATTGCTTCTCCCACAAGTTTCTTGGAGGATTCCTCTGGATCTTCGACCTCTTTCACCATTGCAACCGCTTCCTGAAAACACCATAGAGATCTCAGTCATTAATGTGAAACTTGCGGTACATATGGAATTGAACTCTGTACATCGTTCATATAAGACGAAGAACTTAATCCACAAACCTCATTGGAGAAAACATCCCATAGCCCATCGCTGGCGAGGATCAGAAACTCAAGAGAATCATCAATCTTCTCTTCCTGCAGTTCATGCATAAAGACATTATCTTAAACACAAGTTGATATATAGATGTATGGGGAAGATTAGAGTATATATACAAGTGAAGATATATACCTGAATTTCTGGATCAGCAACAACGTACTGTTTCAACAGTCTATCACCAAACGCGCGAGAAACTGCAAGAACTCCTCCAACTCTCCAAGTCCCTATTCAATCCAGGAATTAGGACTATGCACAGAAAAAAGGCAGCAAAAGCGGGAAATAATTATGCAGTTTCTTGTTACCTGCCCACATCACAAAACCACCAGCATTCTCAATACGTTCACGCTCATCACTTTGGTCCGGTTTATGGTCTCTTGACACAGCAAAGGCTACAGAGGAGGACACAATCATTTCATTCAAAAACTTTCACATAATAACAATGAAAATGTCACGTGATATGGAAGGAAAGTCATAAGTCATGGAAAATCTCTATAAGATTACCATTTCCGCCTCTGCATATAACAGCTCTGGAATCTCCAACATTTGCAACGAGTAAACGATCACCAACGAGAATAGCAGTAGACGCAGTTGAACCAGCATCTCTAGTGTGACTATTTTCTGACTTGAGAAGTTCAGAGTCTGTATGATTATACGCATCAGCTGGAAAAACAAAGCAAATACGATGCAGATTTAGAGTACACGGATCAAACAATAATTAAGTCATAATGAAAAGAAGTTTATACGGGTTCTCGGGTACAAACTTATTGCAGATTTGGTGTCAGAGATGAACTTAGGATGAGTGATAAGATTGCTGAATAGATGACGCTTCACATACTCAGCTGCTCTGGCTCCACCATGGCCTGCAAAACAGTAAGAAACCTATTCTAAGAGGTAGAGATAACTAGTGCTAAAACCAACTTGAGATAGTTGGGACAAATGAAATATAGGCCAGTCGAGAATGAAATCTGCTTATGAACAAACTACGCCCATCGAAAACTTGGTAAAAATATCTTCGAGCGAGGGGATAAGAAAATACCATCAAAGACTCCAAAAAGACCAACAATTTCTCCATCGATACCGTCGATCCTCGTCTCGAAAAAGTCTTCCATAGATGATCTCTTTCCAGCTGAGCTTGCATATCCATAGCTGAATTTTCCATTCTGGCTGCAGTTAAATCGTGGACATTGTAATCGTTGAGTTCATGTCAAGTAGAGCTTGCATATCAAGGAAAGCCAAAAGTAACAAAATCAATCAAAGATGAGTGACCTGAGACCTCCTCCGCTTGCAGGTGCATCAACAATCCGCATCTGATTCGAATACGACAACGCCAAGTCCATATATCCCATTTTTGTTTTCAAATACTACTCTTCAGATGATAATTTTTTTACAATAATCCAGGCACCGAAACTTCAAAGCTATTCTGAAATCGAGCAATTTAGGTTGAGGTTTTCAACATACACGAACTTAGGAACAAACAGAGATACCGCGAATGGATGGTTGGAGACAAGAAAAGAGAGGAGGAAGAAGATGAGAGATTTCATGGTGGACGGAAATAGCGTAATAAACCAAAAAAAGGAAAGACAAAGCAGCAGACGTTTCCCGGAATCAATGGTGTTAAGCATTTGCCGGCGAGACCTCCGGGACCAATTTGCCAATAATAGAAAGCTTTAAGGACTGTCAAGTCAAAAATGCCTTTTACCAAGTGACACGTGATGACTTGTACTATTCCATTTATTAACCAAAGAAAAATAAAGACCACTTCAACAACAACATCATGACACGAGACCGTTCTGGTTATGATTGTTTCGGTTTCCTTTGCATTTAACCATTTGGAAATGCGGTTGAAGTCCAACCGGCCCGGTTCATATGCCTACTCCTAGTCCTAGTAGATACACAGTGACCCAAAATTCGAAAATCCAAATCGGTTGTTTTTTGCCTCTTTTTCTGAAAATCCCGTTTAGCTAAAATTTGGTTTCCAAAAACAAAAAGAGGAGAAGATATACGAACTTAAAGGGCCTTGGGAAGATCGAAAAACATTTTAACCACTATTGGCTCTTGTTGTGATGGAGCAATTTAGAGAAAAGGATCCAACAAGAGTGAGGCACTTTCTGACCAAAATGTGTAGACAATGCATAAACAATATCTAAAGCATAACTGTGAACCTCTGGTTTCCTTGACATACGAAGAAGCATCGCTGTCCACATTCCAGGTGCAAGCTTCACCGCCTCACTCAGACACTTGAACCCATTGCTCACTCTTTTCATTGTCCCTCCTTCCTGAGAAATTAAAATTTAATGAGATTTTGAATAACAGTCTTTTCAGATTCCATTGAGAAAAAGAAAACGAAAAAGATTTAAGGAAAGGTTTCTGATGATTACTGACCTTGGGATTGATTGTCTGCTTCTTCGTGTTCATATCAAGAACCTGTTCTTCAAGGAAAATATCAACCACTCTGATTATGTCCTGAAGAAGGAAGACTCGAACTCTCTGCCCTTTCTCTGATAATATGAACAATAACAGATCTTCTGTGGCGGAAACTACTGAATGCATGTCGAAAGATTTCAGCTCCGATGACTTCCTCAAAGTCTTATCTTCTGGAGACTCCCCAGAAGTCACAGAAGACTGCTCGGATATTGCTGCTACCTGAAAGAGAATTGGCTCATTTCTTCAAATTACTCAATTTCCCAGAGAGAACAACAATCAAAACTTCAGTTATATGACATACCAGGCGTTCGAGCCGATTCCACCTTATTGATCCATCATTACAAATGACAAGTTCCATCAGTATTTTCCTCATATCTGGGCTAGGATCTGCCAAAAGCCTCCCGACAACAAATGGATATGCGCTCTCGATCACTTTAAACTCTGGATCAAGAATCTTAGCTGTGCCTTCTAGTGAACCAAGAGATCTTATGACAAGAGCATAATCTGGAGGCAGCGAGAAGTTGAACTCGTACATAACATTATATAATTGTTCCATCACCCCCTGCACAACAAAAGGTAACAATTATGGTAGATGTCCACGATGAGTTTGGCTAAACTCACAATGACAAGACAGGGTAAAGCAGTAGTCACTGTGAAAAATTCTGTCAATACTTTCACCAAACAAGAAATTAACTCAACTATGACAAAGTCAGCCTCCAATGTTTTAGACTATCCTGAAGTGGAGATCCTCGTTTGATGCATGAGATTAGATAAATGATTTAATCCAAACAGAAGTCATTCTAGCAGAAGTGGAAAAAAAGCTTGTGAGGTCGGTCCAACTACCATCATTGCAAAACAACCAAGTTCCTACTGTTACTCCTATTTTCCTACGGAATGGATCAAAGACAATTCTTGAAGGAGGCTTTCAACTCCAGGGATGAATCGAAAAAGCAATCTTAATTGGAGTTTTCTCTATTTTTGTGGCTTTTCGAAAGCATAAGCTTGTAAAGTAATCAATTCATAATGTGCCTTTTCCGACTTGCAAATTTAGTTGAAACATGTCAGCTCATAAGCAATAACAACAAAAATGTTACTAAAGGCTTTGCCACAATTGTATTTCAGTGAATGTGTCTTTAGGGTTGAGCATACTTTTCATTACAAGATGAAGAAAGGGCATACCTGGAAATCTTGTGAAATTCTGGTACTAGAACCAAACGAAGCACGCAAAGCATTTGAAACTGCTTGTATATCTACCCCTTCAGGCAAAAATCCCAAGGAAAGGTAATCATTTGCCAAACTTAGAGAGTCACGGTTGACAAAATGCACCAGCTGTAATCGCAATAGAACTAATCAAAATCGACAAAATAACGAAAAAAACAATTTTAGATAGAAAAGTTATTATAAGCAATCAAGGTTGCAAGCATATAAGTCCGAAAAGGTAAGGATAAACTGAAGTAGAGCTTACAATTTGAATAAGTCCCACACGGTAATGACGTGGGATATTCCCCATCATCCCGAAGTCGAAATAAACAAGAGATCCTTCTTTCGTAGCCACAAGATTTCCTGGGTGCGGATCAGCATGAAAGAAGCCAACCTCGAGCAGCTGCTTTAACGAACAGGATAAGCCCTGTGAACCAAATAATTTCAAGGTCCTCAGTGGAACATTACACGAACCTCGCCAGTGTATTAGGTATCAATTATTTTGTTACCTGATCGATCAAGTCCCTTCTATCAAGACAAGCCTTTCTCAGCTTAAGTTCATCTGTTAGTTTTATGCCATCGATCCATTCCATAGTGAGCACCGCAGTGCGTGTAAAATTCCAGTATATTTTAGGGACTTTGATGTTCTCGGCTCTATGATTCCTGGACTTATTTCTAGGTCCAGTGTTATCATTCATCTGATCATTCCCTGTCATTGTTCAAATATATTTTGTCTGATAATGGTATTTCAGAAGAGTGTGCAATCTGAAACAAGAGAACCTACCTGAATCAAAAGAGTATAGAGAAGCAAATCTCTCTGCATTTTTGGCCTCTCGAACATAATCTATTTCGTCGAACATATGCCTGACCTGTTCATCCAAGAGAGACATGAACACATTTGTACAATATACGCAAGTAGATAACTAGTACGAGCGTTTCAGATAAATGACTGACCATCTCATTCACCGCTACCAAAAGATCCTTACGGGCTTTTGCAAATCGTTTCAGTTGTCCCCCGATCATATGGAATAAGAGGGCATCACGTGTTAGAGAGATTGACATTCCAGGTCTCTGAACCTTAACAGCTACCAACTGTCCAGAATGCAGATGAGCTGCAATACTTGAAGGGAAAAGTTGAAACATTTAGCTTCTACTACATCTAAATTGAGAAAAATGACAGAGGATTACAGGAGAGACCAAAAAGGATAGAAAAAAATCCGACCCAGTAAATCTAAACAGAGAAAAATGGCAATGAGGATTACAGTCAAAAGGTATCTAACCTTTGTATACCTGACCCAGAGATGCAGCAGCAACAGGCTTAGGACTAATATCTGCAAAAAGTTTCGACACCGGAGCACCCAGTTGCTCTTCAATACATCGCATGGCAATAGTAGTTGGAAATGGAGGAATTTGATCCTACAATCATCAAGAAATATACGTAATCCAAATATTAGGCACAGCCACATGGGTAATTTGAAAGAAAGATCGCCCACCTGCAATTTTGAAAGCTCCTGACAATAAATAGAGGGTAATATGTCTGGTCTCGTGCTCAGGGCCTGTCCGAGCTGCAACTCAAACAATCTATTATTTTGGAGGATTCAAAAGAAGAAGAGGCTCAAATTAGTAAATTTCGAGTTGTGGAATAAAAAGCGAATAGCCAACATGCCTTGATGTAGAAAGGCCCCAAGCTGATAAGAGTCTCACGGAACTGCATCCAAAATGTGATAAATTACTATCAACTTAATTATGGCCTGAGCCACATATCAAAGAGTACTCTTCATTTAATCTACTTTAACAAGTATCAGCAAACAGACCTTGACAGCCCGTTTCCTCATATCCTGAACAAACAGCTGCCAAAAGGCAAGCTTCACCACATGGAATGAAATGATTGCAGCTCTATACAATGCCAAAAATGGGCCAAAACGATACATTGCAGAAAAACTTTTTGTGCTATATGCTCCAAGAGCTTGTCCAAATTCCGTTTCAAGGGATTCTCTCCGTAATTTTGCATACTCTGCTGTAGGTCTTCCACCATGAATGCTGGTGAAGTCTGTCGAATACCTGCAAACCCATTTCCCCCAAAAAACGATTAGCCCAGTAAACCACCCTGAAATCCTCAATTGGTTGTGTCCGCAAATTATTCATCATGATCAAGAACTAACGTTCTGTGTTGCAAGTAAAATGGTGAAACCCATGTACTTGTCTGTCTTGAGAGCTCATTATTCTGTTCTCTCGATATGTAGTCCCCAAGCTTGAAGTTGATAGTCTTGTCATCACGTAAGGCTACAATTATAACAACAACCTCATCAACATAAAATTCAATTCCGTAAAAAATCTCGGCAGCATCATCATTTTAGCCTAATACACATGTCTTCTACACCCCTGAGCTGGTCTAGCAAAGATAACAATGAAAACTTCACTGAAGCTAAGCTTGGGCAACCATGGGTTTACAAAGCAAAAGAGTAATCACCATTACAAAACTAATATTCAGGTTTTCCGATTTCCACAACGCAAGAAATTTTATGAATTCGTGATAATCACAATTCTCTGCTCCCGCTATGTCTAGTAAACTAAGTGGATTCACAAATCCAGAATTCCAACCCGGAAATCATCCACTCCCGTAGATTCGTCCGAATTCCAAAGAAAATTTTCAACGAAACATCGAAATTCTCTTCAAATGCAATACCAAATAGGGAAGAAAATAAGTACTTCTCTGGAGCAGTGAGACACGGCGGTGATAACGGAGAGCAACAAAGACATTCCTCATCCGGCTAACAAGAAAAACACGACGATCGATTCAGTCGAACAGCATGCGAAAATCCCATAGTCCGTCTTAGATTACCCACTAGTAGCTATTTTTTGCACAGAAGCTGTTCGCTAAAATGCGCAACCGAGATCGTCCGCCTCGAAGAAGGAAGGTTTTTTTTGTTTTTAGTATCTCTCCACGTAAGAGCCGAGAGAGCAATAGAGCAAAGACAACTACGCGAGAATTAGTCGACACGTCCGTGACACGTGGCGTATTCCGATGCAGTCGGTGACACTGTTATTCGGAGAAGTTAACTGGGCCGAATCAGGCCCAACAAGCTCAAATTGAATATAATTGGGATAATATTGCTTCTGTTCCCAAACAGTAGTATAAAATTTTCAAATCGGAGAAGGATAAGTCGACGCCGACGACTCTTTCTCTCTCACACATATATACTACCTTAAGTCGTCTCCGGCAGAGAAATTTCGGTGAAGTATAGAGCCAAATCGGTGAAAGTTTTTTGATTCGTCTTCAATGGAGAAATCTCTGGATCTCTTACCGTCTCTGGTTGTATTTCTAGCCGCAGCTCACGTTATCGCCTTGGTAACTTCACTTGTTTCTCATCTTCTTCTTCCGTTCTTCCCTTGGTGCTCTCTGTTTCAATTCGAATTTAGTTTGCTGCGTCGATCGTTGATCGCTTTGGGAATTGTGCGATTTGTAGGTTTACTGGATTTATAGATTGGCATCTGATCGTCAGCCTGAGAGAAAAAAAGTGCAATAAGGAAACTTGGGGAGATTCGATTGGACTACGGTTCATCGATTGGTGGGTTTTTTGTTTCCGATCTGATATTGCGTTATCGGTGTTTTCTGATTGTTGGTTTTTGATGAATTATTCGACGTGTATTTGCGAATGGAAACCTGTAGTTCCTTTTCAAAGATCTTGAGGTTGTTTATTAGGTAGTAGATCATATATGAGCACCAGTTTCGTTGAGTGTTTCTGCACTTTTGGGTGTGAATCTGTGATAGATTTTGTTACATTTCCAATCATTGTTTCATTAGCAATCATGGGCTTTGCACTTTAACAAAAGTTACAGAAACCAAGTTTGTTCTTATGCTCAACTTCTTGAGGGGATGTGTTCTTTGTTCTTGGCCTCATCTGCCACTTTCTATATTGCCATCTTTCTGCAACGTATAGGGTTCGAGTACTGCAACTAATAGTAGCAGCACCATTAAATGATCAATTATCGGTCGAAGAGTCGATTTGATTACTATTTTTTTGTCGATGTTTCAGTTTCGATTTTACCCTCTTTTCTTGTCTGGTTTATGATCACAAACATGTCATCTCATTTGGTAGGAATTTTGTTTCTTAGAGCCGCCTTACCGGTAAGCTTTTCGGGGTGACTGTCATATTTTCTGAGAGCAATTCCCAATTTAAGAACGTCAGAGAAACTTGTCAAAAGCTTTGATGATGAGTGACCAAATTATGGAGTATCTGGTTATTACTGATGTTGAATAGGCGACCCTAAAGACAGACCAGATATTGTGGGATTAGATTGGTCATGTTTTGTCGGTGGTCTTTGATCGGAGGATCGGAGTTTAGTAGATTTATAGTCAAATTACACTCTAAATTTAGGGAAAACATGCAACAAACTAGATATTAAAGAAATATCAGCTAAAAAAATTCAATGTGTCACTGAAAATAATACATACGTTTGTTCGCAGAAATATGCTTGCGAAATTTGAGTTTATTTTACTTAATTACCTCTTTATAATATTGAATTAGTATAGGTCAAAAAAATTTTGAAACAAAAAATGTAAAAAATCATTTATATAGTTTTCTAATATTCGCATATTCACTCAAAACATCTTACAGTGAATAAAATCATTGAGTTCTGTGATATACTAAACTTTGATTAATTTTACTTGATGCATTTGCTTGATTCAAATAACTACGGGATCTTCGACAATTTCGACTCTGCTTACGAATTGTTTTTTTTTTTAATAAAAGGACAACTGAAAGAGTCGCCTTTTCAATTTCATGACCATTAAAATGTATTTTATATCGTAATAAGCTAATTAATTCAAATTGACAAATGAAAAACAGAAGGTTTACATTTACACCCATACTTTCCTTTTATATCAAGAGGTCATTTTCATGGTTCTTTTATATCACAGGAGTAGCCAACCAGAGAAAAGGACAACGAATCAAACACCATGAACCAAACCGAAATCTCCACCGGCGATACTAATTCCAAACCGGCCAAAACCGGATCAGTTTCCATCGTACCGGAGTGGATAACCGAGACGATCAATGGTGGATCTTTCCCCGTCGTCGATCCCAACACCGGATCCAATGGCTGGACAACTCCTCCCGGCGACGTTTTCCCTCTCCGCTCCGTCAAATATTTCGCAAACAAACAGAAATCTCCCGGCGGAGACTACCTCCTCTCTCCCGCCGGCGTTGACTGGCTGAAATCCACCGCAAAACTCGACAACGTCCTCTCTCGTCCCGACAACCGTGTAACCCACGCGCTAAGAAAAGCCCAGACTCGCGGCGAATCCCTAAATAGCTTCATATTCGCTGTAAATTTCCAGGTCCCGACTAAAGAACCGTACAGCTTAGTGTCCTACTTCACGACGGAAGATCCGATTCCTCGCGATTCGTTGCTCCACCGGTTGATAAACGGAGACGAAGACTCGTTCCGTAACCAGAGATTCAAATTAGTGAGCCACGTGGCGAAAGGTCCTTGGGTTGTAAAAGCTGCGGCCGGGAAATTTGGGGCCTTGGTTTTGGGTAAGAACGTGAGGTGTAACTACCATAGAGGATCTAACTACTTTGAGATCGATGTCGATTTAAGCAGCTCGGCGATCTTGGCAGCGACTGTACGGCTTGTGTTGGGGCACGCTTCGAGCGTGACGTTGGATTTTGGTTTCGTTGTGGAGGCGCAAACAGAGGATGAGCTGCCGGAGAAACTGATCGGAGCTGTTAGGCTTTCTCAGATTGACTTAGTGTCGGTGTTTACGGTCGTCGTCGACGCTCAGAAGACTCTTCAACCGTGTAGAATGATGGGTTCGGCGAAAGGGAATCAACACGACGATGAAGACGACAAGGTTTGAGATTTGAACAAGCTCAAATCTCAAACAAATCCTTTCTCTCTCTCTCGACCAATCTCAATTACATTAATGATCACATTTAAAAAAAAAAAAAAATTAATGATCACATTGTTGTGGGCAAGATTCTTTTTGTTTTTCTGTTTATTTATTTCAATCGACACAATTGCCGATTTCGTAGTATTTGCGACTATTTTGTAGGGTTTACAAGAAAAAGAATAAACTCTAAATCTATGATTTTACGAATCATGCATGTTGAAGATTGGTTCTAACTCGGGTCAACTGAAGCAGGAAAAGTCAACAAGTATGAAAGCACGGAGGGTTTAGGTTATATCTAACCACACCGGTTTGGTAACATCTGTTCTCTCTGGTTATGTTTGCTTAAATGTAAATCTCTAAAGATAAAGGGATATGTTTCTTGGGTCTGAGAACAATAAGTCTTGTTGTTGTTGTTCGTTGCCGTCAAGTGT